CTATTGTAGGGCAGAAATCATGCTGCTGAGATCATTACACAGATCATGCCAGTGACGGTGCAGTGGATGCTCAAGAACAGATGGTGGTTCTCGTCTCAAAAATACCTGTGCTCATCATCTGTTGTTGGAAAGAATCTGTAACGCCTATGCAAGGCAGATGTCATGCCACACAGCAAAGGATCAGGAACCAGACCCATCACACTCAACTTTTGATGGCTTCAGTTAGAGAGTCCTGGGAGACATATCAAGCTGGGAACTTGGGATCTGCTTTTGTATCAGTGTCTGCTGCAAGCAGAACTGGCCAGATAGTCTGCAACTACAAGACTGATTTCTCAGCTCAAGCTCTTCTCTTCCATGTTTCCAGACGACTACACTGAGTACCTTGCAACAAAATGGGCTTTTTATGTCCCCTTTGGGAAAGGGATTTGATGCCTAAATAGCAGACTCTTAGTAGATCCCAGAGTTGAAGACAAAGGCTGCTCTCCCAATACATAGCAGAAAATGCTCATCTGTGCTTCCAAAACAGGCCAGTAGGAAGACTCCTACTCCAAATTAAAATTCAATTTGTAAAGAAAGCAAGAATTAAATATGGGGTAAAAATGCAGAATATGCTAGAAATCATTGTATAAGAATGCCAGCGCTATTCCAGGATGTTTACAGGCAGGCTGCAGACTTCAACTGTAATGAGGTCACACAGTAGAAAATTAAAACGTTTCACTAAACAGGAAGATAAATGGTTATGACATTTGTCCTCCAGATCAGTGACAATTATTTTGGGAGATGAATAAATAGCAAAGTTAAGATGAAATTTCAGATTCCACAGACAAGAGGCAAGCATGAGCATAAAAATTCATCCCAAATTTCAAAATTGTTCCATAAACTGCAGGTGGAAAGCATCCAAATGTGCAGACTTAGGCAAGGAATAAATGTTCTCACTCACAATGTTTAACTTGCAGTATTTCAGCACCACCAAGAGTGAAATAGCTGCTAAGATGGTTTACAAAACCTTTACAACCAGCCCAAAGCTGGGTGGTTTATTGGTAAACTTCCAGCAGGGTTTTACAGAGACCTGAAAACTTTCTTGTAGAAGAGAGAAGATAGAGCTAGAGGCAGAACAGGCAGGCAGCTATGAAAACAGGTGCCAGCACAGGTTTAAAAACAAGGTTTCTGACAAGGAAGGATGATTTCGGACATGCTTCTATCTTCTGGAAAGCACTGCAGGACGTAGATGTGCCTCTGAAGCTGAACTCGGGAGACAGCTGTCAACTGAGTCTGTAGTGCCCACTAGAGGGTCTCATATTAGAGTTCCTTGCTCTTCTCATATCACTGAACTTTTCACCCACGTGCGCCGGCAGACATGAAGATCTGACTGCAAAGGCAAAATGGTCTCAAGGTACTAATGCTATGGATTAATCAGGCTGTGGATCAACAGTTTGATGGTTTTCAACTCCTGTTCTCCCTAGTGCATGGACAGCCAGACGCAGGTAATCTGTGACTGCAGGCACCTGTACCAGGTCTCTGGGAGTGACATCTGACAGCTACTTACAAGTCTGTACTCATCACCTTCAGTGCCTCTGGAGTAGTAGTTTTAAGGTTTCATGAACGTGGGAAAGCCATTTGTCATACTGTGTCCTAAAACTGACCTACGACAAACAGGACGGAACTTTTAAGTTTACCTGAGACTTTGCCCATAGTTTTGGGACGGGGATTACTATGCACCAGTGATGACAACCCCCTCATCTGTGCTGCTGCTACTTACCAGGTTATTGTCCATCTGCTGACTAATAGTAGCCAACTGTCTGCACATACCTAGTCACTGCTGAGCAGAAGAAATGTGCTGCCTTAGATCTCATTATGGCATGAGTCTTGCTAGAAAACAGACTGTCAGGGTGGCTTAGACTAATGCTGGCTTAGTGCAAAGACAGGCTTAGAGAACTGACACAGGTACCGGAGCTCTGCTCAGAAGTGGCACCTTGCAATGTTGTTTGCATGTATTTTCTTACATAAGTTTTAGCATGCTTCGTTTTTGTTTTCTGCAGTATCTCAGCACATTTCCCATCACATTTGTATTACAGTGCGAGCAAAATAAAATGTAAACTCTTTATAAGCAGATAGGAACTGACCTCCTAATAAGGGCTGAGCTGGGACAGGCTGGCAGGTCTTTGATAATACAGTAATAAGCCCAGATACAATTCCTAGTGAGTTTCTCTCTATATATCCAGAATGTCTGGCAGGTACAACCAGTAACTGGTTGCTGGTTGGTCATAGGGTTGTAACAACAACATAAACATCACATGCAAGAAAACCTATTTAAATACACTTGATTTTCATATTCATAATTGCAGTGGTGCAGCAGGTATTTCAGAAAATCGGATTAAATTAAATCTCCAGATCTACCTGTCAACCAGGCAAAGACAGCCTGAGCTCCTAGGGAACGTGGGGAGCTTTACCTCAGCAAAACCTGAACAAGGTTTTAAATCAGTGAGATAGGAAGCTGCTCCCAGAAGGAAGATGCACAACATCTGGCATGATGCTGGGATGCTGCACCATCTCCATCTGTGGCCCAAATTCAGCAAATCAGCTGCCGTATCTTTTCAGAACAGCATCTTAAATTTAGTTCACTCTGCAGAGACTCTCGCTCAGCCGTGGGATGTACCTACTGAAAATCATATTGTAATGTTTAATATTTATGATAAAGAATCAGAAGGCTCAAATCTAGGCTTTAAAACCTAAAATACCCAAAATGCATTTAAAACAAGGTGTCATTATTTACTATTTAAGTATCTGTCAAGTGCTGGCAATGATCTCAAAACATGAATCAGGACAGAGCTATTTTATTTTCAGTGGAAATGCCTGAACCTCATTTAATCTATTTCAGCTTTTGACCTGTCAGAACCCATTTAGAATGAAGCACTGAGTGAATTATAGAGCAACAGCAACTTCTACTGTGCCCTAATTATTGATTAAAGTAGAAAGTAAGCATTTGAACAGTCCAGACTCAACTGAAATACGTCCCCTATTCAGATGAACAGCAAGTTCAGTGCATGCTTTTCTGTGGTGCTGCTGCTATGTATGTTACCCAACTGTGACCTGAAAGTGAAAACAGCTATAAAAACATATGAATCATCTTCTTAGATGAATTTTATCCAAGTTCAGACAGGTACCCTGGATTGTTAAGCTGTTTTTACCTTACTATCCTGTGGTTAAAGCAGAATTTAGGCAAGGAAAAGTACATGTGTCTGTTTCAAAGCTGGCATTGCTCCTCTAACACACAAATAAAATTTAAACAAATCTCATTCCCATAAAAAGCTGGATTCTGCAGGCTGGGGAAGAAACACAAGCTGATTACTCTTGCCATTAATGTTCTGAAAAGTGATTTCCTGACATAAAAGTCATTTTCACCCATTTTGGTTTTGCAGCATGGTAGCAATAATGTTTAAGCTTGTTGGACACCATCTCATGAAACTCATCAGCTTCATTGGGCAAGCATCCCACTGCTGTCTGGAAGGAATCCTCTTCGCGCTAAGTTAAAGATCAAAAGAGAACATCTTGTTTTGTCATTTTAAAAAGAGCTTACTTGGATATTTCAGTCTGGAAGAATACATCAATGGAAGTTTCAACTTTGGAAGCCAATTTGGAACAAAAGGCAATGCAAAAACATCAGGCTGTCCCAGGGGCCTCGCAAAGGCCATTTGCATCTTGTCTGTATACTCTCTAGCAGAAGGAAGACTAATGCCAGCATGTACCAGCTATTAGCACGTGCTACTGAGACGCCTGCTATTGCCAGTTCAGGATGAGGACTGCAGGTTTTCTTACATAGCACGGAAGAGGGGGTACTGGCAGTCAAGGAGTCATCATGGAAAGGCATTTTTTGTCTGGTTCTCATTAATTAAAGCCTCATTTGTGGCTCTTTTAAAAAAGCCTCTTCAAAACCACCATCTGTGGTGGCCCAAACAGCCAGCATGGAGTCAGGATAGGGCACACAAAGGGTCACCATGTCTGATTTCCTGCCCTTTAGCTGCACCTCCTTTCAGGTCAGTTCTTATCCAGAGCAGGGTCCCACTGATGCTGGGACACCGTATGAATATGGACCCAGGAAAGTTACCTGTCTTGAACGAAATGATGTTTATAGGTGAGGCATTTGTGGACACCTAGGCCCTATAGGAACTGAAAACTAGAAACTGGGAAAGACTAAGTGCAAGGGCTTTAGAGTATTTACATCCACTGAATACGAGGTTAAAGGATCAATCACTGTAGATACACATAACCCATATGCAAGGATGTTCAGGCCCCTAGGAGAGAAAGAAACATCTCTGTGTCTGGGAGGGATATAATCTGAGATGCCCAGTCAGCAGATTAAGGCCATACCCTGCATGGCACTGAGGGAAGCCCTGACAGTGGCAGCCACCAACATGACCTCTGGGGTTCCAGGCATGCATATGTGCCCTGTCCAGACCTCTGGGTGTGCTCCAGGATCCAGTCTCCAACCATCTCATCTGAACAGCAGCTGATGCTTGGTTTAGCTTCTGGAGACAGAAACGCAGCCTCACCTCAGGGGAAATTTCATTACAGCCCTCACTGTGATTTCCACAGTTGGTACAAATTAGACTCACACAGCCTCTCTCAAGTCATGGGAAAATGTTCTTCTCTTCCACTGCACAACACAGTCCATCTTGAGGCAGTAATGCTACCAGATACAGCTTATCACACAGACTGTTCTCACACAGCACACCACACGAACTTCTGCCTTACTTGCATTTTGCGTGAAAAGAGCAAGCAACATTCAGTTCAATCAGAAATGAAAGCTGAACCCATTCTAACAAATAGGAGGTAACAACGAGCCCTGATTCTCCTCTTGGACATGATCGCAGCTCCTCTTATGGCCAAGCAGAGCTGGGAGTGCACAAGACAGGAAGAGGGCTCTGGGAGAAGAACCTGCTTTAAGGACACAACACAGAGCTACAACAACCAGGCAGAGAGAGAAGTAGAAAGAGACATACTGGAGAAGCTGACCATTGCGAAATGCTGACACCGGTCTCCTGTGAATTCGATCGGACACCTACCGAAAGAAAGAAAACCAGAAAGAGAGAAACAAGATAGCAAAATGACACCCAAACAGACCGTACTGAGGCCCCTTCTGATCCTTGACATGACTCCTATCCATCTGCTCTCAGCCTTCACCCTTACCTGCATCCCTAAGCCCTAACCCAAAGCTGACACCAAGAGCCATCCCTGACTAGACCACTCTACATCCACCGCTGTGCCCGGGAGGTTTTAAGTAGTGTGGTGCATTTTTTGTCTTCAAACATACTTTGCTTAGGATCTGGCATGTACAATCGCAAAGGCAGTTTCTCCAAACATCTCTGTCCGAAGAATCCATTTGGACATCTGGAGGGGAAAAGGGGAGAAATCACAGAACATGTCTGGCACCATTCTCGAGGCTAAGGTCAGAAATAAAAAGTGCATTGTGATGAATGGAAAAAATAAAGGCTTAATGAGCACATTTATTCTTCGCTTTGCTTTAACCAGGCACCTGCAACATCAGCATTCCAGCTCTATTCTTTGGCCTGGGTCTTCAAGCAGCCAGCCAAACCCCTTCTTTCCTCCTCTGCCTGCCTCCTTCCTTCTCACCTGCTAGAAGTACCCGCTGTCAGGAAGACTGAGATGGGCTGGATGCTACTTTCAGAAGCTCTCCTTGGAGCTGCTACCTAGACAAGACTGGCAAGAGGCACCACAGAGCGGTGAGTAGCTGCTCAGGTGACAGCGAGCATTGTGTGTGGCAAGCATCTTCCCATCATTACCCCAGAAGTACCCACAGGATGCTCCAGGGAAAAAGGTTGCCATTAGAGAGGAAGCATGTGCAAAGTCTCTGTGTTAACAGAGAGAAAGGGACAGAGAAGAAAGCTGAACCCAACAGGTCTCATTTGCTGCCCAGTTGAGAGGCTGTCTCAGGGTATTCCTGAAGTTATGTGATGGATGGAGATGCGACAGCTCATGGGGCACCAGTTGTACCTCAGCATGATGCTGTAGTGGTGGAGACAGTGCCCTACTGATGAGGGCTGCCAGGCATGTGCTATTCAGAGCAGCCTGCAGGCTGAGCTAGGTCTGGGGAGCAGGGGGACAAGGCAGGGGTGCAGCAGGAGCTGCTGGACCACACTCAGTGCAGCAGCACTTGCACCCTCTGTGCTGTGACACACCAGCAACCAAGGGTGAACCTGGGAGGCAACGGGAGCTCAGCCAGGGGTGGTCAAACACTTCTCCATCAGGAACTTATCTCTTCCTCCCTTCACATCTTCTGGCCTCCTTGGATAGTCACTCAAAGCTATCCCTAGGTTTCTTGAAGGCACAGCTCTTACGTGCTTGTCTCATAACTGCCTCCCTCCCCAACTGAACTCTCCCTCTTCTGAGCTTAAGACACAGCTCTGAATCCAGCATGATCCAAGGAGAAGATACAGCCAATAAAAAGCTGCATAATCTCTTCATCCCATCTACTGTCTTTCCCCACCTCATCACCTCCGCAGCTCCAAACCTGTCCATCTTTCCCCTAAAGAATGCATTTTCCAGTTCTTCAAGGCAGGGTCCAGGGAGACATATCACCTGCTGTCCCTCTCACAGAAGAAAGCTTTGCTAGACACTCCATGACTGACATGACTTTGGAATTTGATTTCTTGCTGATTTTCACTGCAGTTTTAGTAGGTCTGCACTGAGCAAAAAAAGCTGGTGCACCCTCAGTGCCCATGACTAAACCTGTTTTCTATGCTACGTAGCATTTGGTTTCCAGGACCTGTGCTAACACTTCCGTATGGGAGTGTGCTGGACTATTTGTGCACCCTGAACTGCTTGGGGACAACTTAAAGGCATGGCTCTGCATGAGGCTTCACTAAACTCCCCCGTCATCCACTTCAGTTTTTTGGTATCCAAGTAACTTTTGAAACTGGAAATGGCACTCCCTGCTCAGGCAGATCCTTTAAAAATTCACCCTCTTTTCTCATTCCTGGACATTCATCTTGGAGCACAGGGAAGGGAGACATACCAGCAACACTGTTTCAGTACCAGGGAGTCCAGACAGCTCCCAAGTAAAGCCCAGCCCAAGGGGTTACCATCAGACACGAAGGAGACCTGTTGACCTTCCCCACGATGAAACAGAGGACGCTGGTGCTGGGGAGTGGATTGAAAAGGATGCCTTGTTGGCAATCAAAGAGCACAAACCTGAGGCAGTTGGGTGATGCAGACTTACAAGGACATCCCTATGGAAGCACAACTTTGGAGCAACCTTTAAGAGATTACATTGGGGTTTGAATGAGGCATCCAAAATAGAGGGCGTCTTCCCAATCTTTTTTGAAGTTTATTCATCACAACTGGGAGGGTCATGAATTTATCCACAGGATCTTCAAAGGTATGCAGTTTAGCTTGCAATGTGCTGTCCATTTGTCTGGGATCTGAGATTTCACATATGTTGTGAGAGCTCTGAAGGGTCTCTGGCGCTGCTGAATGAAGCAAACGTCCTACCCACCTCAAAAAGGGCACATTGCCTAAAAAGGGTTTAAACTATCTCAGGTGCACATCTGCAAGAGGTCAGCCAAGGCTGGAACTTCAGTGTGACTGAAGCTGCATGCCATTAAGGAAAGACTGAAAATTATGTGCAAAATGGTGGAAGGAAATAAAATCCCAGAGAAAGAAATTGGTGAGAAGTGTAAAAGCAAAACTGAAGAGTGTCAAAGAAGCTTTGATGCCGTGACAGCTACCATATAGCCCTTTATCATATCACTGCAGTCAGCCTAGTGTGGGTGGGGAGAAGATCTTGCTAGACAGAAGGCAGTAGACAACAGTCTTGTCTGTGTCTAGGACAACTCAGGCTTTTCATCTTTAGCTACTAGTGAATCAGCAGTGGGAAAAGTGACAGAAAATAAACCCTCATGAACACGAGCACCTTCTGTCACCTCCCAAGCTAGTATACAAGTTGTCAAAACACTCTGGCATCCCTGGGTCCTGATTCCTCATAAAAAATGTTGCTGGCATCAACAGTGACCAGCAGACCTTTGAAAGTCTGCAATGCTCCTGATTCCTGTTTTTAGCTGTCTCATAGTTGTAAGCTGGTGAAGACGGTTTGTTATTCATTACTATGGCTCTAGACATGAAATTTCCAGTGTGCATGGCACATGAGTCTCCCTGTCAGGACAGGAAGAACAACGGAAAGGACCCCTTCTGCATGCAGGATCTGCAACGTGTGGTAAGGGCTTCTGGGCAGCTTTTCTTCAGTGGCCAAGCACATGCCCTGAGGGATACGTCTGAAAGTTAAGGCTCACCAAGTTCAAGAGGCATGAGATGGTCTTTGATCATGGCATCCTTCTTCCTGCACATTTGACCCTAGTCAAGCATGTCTTTCCTCAAAGGCCAAGGGAAGTGGACAAAGCTGGGCCTGTAAGACCCGTCTTGGGGAAGTACAAGGCTGCACCAAGCTCTTGCAGACAGCACCTTGTCCCCTCTCTAGTCTGTGGGGACAACCCCAAGACTGCCAAAATTTTTATGTCCAGATTCTGTTGCTGGAAAATATCCAAATCTTTCAGTTTTGATCAATTGCTTAAGACCTTTTTTTTTTAAACCCCATATCGAAAACATCCACAAAGTTCTGTTCTTGCTTTCAGGATAAATTTATTTACACGGTAAAGAAAACTGCAGTAAGATGATCAGCCAAATAAAGCACTTTCAAAAGTACAAACCAAAATGGTTTGAATGACCCATTTCTGTGTTGTTTGAAGAGCACTTTTTTATGAAAATTGAGAAGCTTTGACCTTTTGTCCCATATCTGGGCAGAGCAAGAATCATTGTTAATTATTATTTGCTACTCTTAATTAATAACACCATTATCATAATGTTTCCTGCTGGAAGCAACACTCTTTCTGCCCAGCAGTTGATCTAAATCTTGCAAGGGTTGGCACATTTCCTTTGCTCCCCAAGATCTTAATTAAAGAGTGCCAAATTTGGTAGCTCTCAATGCAATCCATGTTACAGAACAATGTGAAGGAGCAGGTGCTTCAAAATAACAGGCTAAGGAGAAGCTGCAGCGAAAAAGACACAATGCACTGATCTAGCAAGTGGAGAAATGTTTCATGCATGTTGCTTAGTTGTGTGAAGGGCTGAAAAAGAAGACAGTTCTGTCATTGTCCCCTGACCAGTCCCAGATGATCAGGTTCTGGAGAGCCACAAAAGGCTGAACTCCACAAAATCACTGATGGGAAGAAAAGAAGGCAACCAGAATAAATTCAGAGGCCTTATCCAGAGCAGCTAATCAAGGCATGTTTGCTGTACAGTAGAGTCCAAACTGCAGGGACACCCACCTATGAGCTCAGTGAAGACAACAGTGCAGCTCCAACCGAGCTGTGGGAACTCAGCAGGATCTGTGATGTTGTCTTTTCTGAGCCTCACTGTTGCAGGATCAGTTTTCACACTGATGGTGCTCAAGGGTCTGCTATAGTTACAGGTGCACTAAAAAAGACATATTGGATGGGATTCATTGGGCTACTTGAACCTGAAAAGGTAGCTAATCTCATCACCCATGATAAACAGCACACAGGACTCAATGAATGAGTCCTGGTTGGCTCAGGAGGTTTGGAACAGGATGTGGAGATTTTCACCCGTAGCTCAACACTGTGTGCTCTTCATTTCCAAGGACATTGCAACACCTCCCCACAGAACTGCTTGTATATCCATGACAAGGAGATATCCTTGTGTCTGTGCAATGTGCAGCTTGTGCTGACCTATCAGTAGAGTTATCAAGAGGGGTGGCATAGCTCCTGGCATTACAGGGGAGCTGAGCAAGCTGTGCTGCAGGGAGGACAGGATCAGCCTGTTTACCCCTTTGAATGGTGCTCTGGACAGCACAGGCAGCCTGGCAATGTGGCTAACTCTTCTGAATAATCTTTCCTATCTCCTGGGAAAACCTTCAGGAAACAACATACATGGAGGAGGCTCCTAGGAGGTGAACATGTAGTTTTGTAAACTGGTGATTTGCATACATCAACTGGTTTAAAAATTATTTGATCTTTTCTCCTTCACTTTGTTTTGCTTTTTATTCTCTCCTTGACTTTCACTTTTTGTCTGAGATCCTCCAGGCCCCTGACCTCACTCTCTGATGTAATGCAGTGCTGTCAGCTCAAACCCAGACAGTGTTTATCTGTCAGCATTTGTAAATCCTTCAACCTGGCTCTTGCAAGCACAACTAGTCCAACACAAAGAGGGGATGCTGCTCTGTAAAGCTCTAAGTCTTCTGATTCCATGCAATTTAGGAAGATCCTGGCCCATGGTACCAGCCACTTTGATTACATCCACCACACAAATGAGTCATGAAGCACATTTAAGTGGGCAGAAAGGACTGTGCAGTGATGAGACTTGGCTTTGCTTCTTTGTTTGCTTGAGAAGACCCAACTGTAGATAACATGTGCCAAGACCTAACTGGAAAAAGGAGTAATTATGCATGGCACTCAGGAATAAAAGATTAGAGAGACCTCAAACTGCTCTAGGTTGTGCCAAAACCCTAATGGGCTGCAAGACCAAGGCAGACCCAAGATCAGAGGCTGCTTGCCATCCCAAGCAGCACGTTGAGGTAGACACAACAAACCAGCCACTGTTCTCCTGCACCCCAGACCAGCTGAAGACCTCGAGACATGTTTGTGAGCATCCCTTCTGCAGACACTGGAACTTGTTCTACTCAGACTCACCACTTCCCCACAGTTATGGTGAGAAACCAGGTCAGCTCGTAAGGTCTCTCTGAGCAAAACGGTGTGGAGAAGGATCGAGAAATTCTTCCTGTCAACAAGAGCCTAGGGCTTTTTAATTTACTGTTGAGTCAATTCTGTATGTGTGTAGCTCAGTCGTTTCCGGGCTTTACGCTGACAATTTGCAGGACATCTGAGGCAAATCACACTTCTCCCATCTACCTTCCAGCTGGTCTGTTTGCAGAGTCAGGATAACAGCACAGATTGTATCATGTTCAGGTTTCCTTTGACACTAGCATGTGTAGAATTCACTTCAAATTAAGGACAAAATTATGGAAAAACAATCCAAAAAAGGCAATTTCTGGAAGAGCTGGAAGTCTGTTTGGGCTTTCCCCTGGGAAGAAAACATTCAAAGTCCAGCTGAAGAGTATTGAAAGAGGATGAAGAAAGTGGCTTCACAGGCAAACAGTTTGTTCCCCAGAACTTAAAAGACCAGGAAGAACATGTTTCTGTGAAGCCTGTTAAAAAAAGAGGCCACATGCCAATTCAGGGGATATCTGTAACAAATCAAGCATGAGCCATTTCAGGAGAAGAAATCATTGGAGAACCTAGCTGCTCATTTTGCTCTGGAGTGCCAGCTTAAAATCTACAGGAAGGATCTTCTATGTTTGTGGGCAGCTGCAAACCATGAAATCCAGCCCAGGAAAGTGATACAGGATGGTGACAGGTAGGAAAGAACACTCTAAAAGTTTCTGATAGCCACTATTGGAAAGCCTGGTAACATGAATGGGTGCCCAGGTGCTAGAACAAACTAAGCACCCAGTGAAGGAGGACTACAAGCTGGCACTTGGTGCCAGAAGACAGCACCCCAGGCCCTATTGTCTCTAATCAGAACAGCAAAGTGGGAACACTGCAGGGACATATGTGTTGTTCCTGGTTCTAGATGCTCATGTGGCTCTTGTTTGACCTCTGAGACATTTGAAGATGTTGTGTGCAGAAGAACCTATTGATCTCCATGCTCATGTCTCAGAGACATGGTGTGGCTGGAGCACCAAGGCTAGCTCCCGCTTTACAGAGGTCAGAAATGCAGGTCAAAGCCTGCCTCTTTGCCTCCTCTAGTTTCTCCTCTGAATCTGTACCATTGTACCTTTCACAAACCACAACAGCAGATCTCGTCTTGCTGCAACAAAGCAACTGTGAAACATTCCAGCATTCTGCTAGTTTTCAGGCAGACAAATGCAAAGTCTGTTTATTCATTGTCAGCCTTCCCCAAGAATCATCTCTGTTACTGGAAAAGCCAATTTATGAGAAATACTATGTCAAGTTCAAATGCTTCTGCATTCCTTAATAACTATTATCTTCTAGAGACCAGAAACTCTAAAATTCACCACTTCAGAAGCCAGGATTTCTTATCTTCAGTCTATGATTTGATGATAAAAACACTCAAGGAGACTGAGCATCCAGAGATCTCCTCAAGCAGTAAGATCAGAAGTTACTGTACTGTGTGAAAGGCATTTGGGTCCCCTGAGTTCCTGTTAAGACAGAACTGTCTTTTCTGGCAGATGAGTAGTGACAGTGCAGACCTTCAAAGCACCTCGTTTTGGTTAACACTTTGCTGCCCTTACACACACACATTCAATTATCATCAGATTTTAGCAATTGGTACTTTGGGACTTATCAGAAAGGAAGTAATTTCATCATCTGCAAGTAAGGAATTAAGGCTTTCAAATTATATGACATAATTAGGTCTGGATTGTAGGGCGTATAAAATCTTAATGGAATCCATCACTGATCTTCCCCTCTGTTCATCAGCTGTTGTAGCAGCCTGGTTTGAAGGTAGACTGTTTCGTTGCAAGGCTGGAATTACATTGGCTAAAACAGCCTGTCTGCCGAAGACACTTGATAATTACCATATGTATTCTCTGTTAAGAAAAATGGAGCTTTACCATCATAGCTGAGGAGTTCAGGTAACTTCTGCTGTAATTAGAAATTGGTCCAATTTGAAAAGTCTTGATTTGGATTCAAGTTCTTCTGAGAAGAAATAGTCTTGAGATATATGCTTTTGGCATCACCGCATTGCTTAAGAGGTAGAGATACTGATTCATACATTCCTCTGGTCTTCAAGGGTTGGCCCTCCCCAGCATGGAAGGACTGGAACTGCTGGGGATTCCCAAGGCTACAGCTACACCAGAATAATGGATGTGACTGATTCACCATACGGAGCTTCCTCATGTTTCCTATTGGGAACCCTGGCAAGATGAACTTACAGTGCCATCAAGAAGCCAATGGCAGAGACAGCTACCCTGAAACACAAGTCTGTGGTGTGCAAAGGCTGCTCTTGCAGCTCTTCACACACGTGGGAAACGTGGAGGACCACAGCATGTGATTTCTGTCCTACCTGGCTCTTTTCATGTGTGAAGGGGCAAGCCTGGCAGAACTGGAAGATGCTGTTCATCCTATGTCCTTCCCACCACAGCTGATCCTGCATTGGAAAGTAAGAGCACAGGAGCTCAGCAGAATGCATTTCCACATGGCCTTTCCTACTGCTCCCTGCCAAAACAAGAGCTGGGAGAAGGGAAGAGCTGTGCTAAGCATAACCCAGCTCACAACCCTTCCAAAAGGAGTGATGGTTCTCTTCAGATGTGTCCTTCAAGGCCTGAGGAGCTGAGGTGTCTGGTGAGCACCACACCACACAGCACCAGTGGTACTATCTTGACATACGTACAATTTACAGATGTAAATACCTTTGGCTGTGCATCTGCATGGAGAGGTCTTTGGGCCATGCAGGGAGAAAACAGTCAGCTCTGGGCTTCTCCAAGCTGGCACAGTGATCCTGGATCCCCAGGTGAGCTCAGGAGCTGACTGCATCTGCTCAGCACACACAGGGCACCATCTCATGCTCAGTCCACAGGAGCCCAGCAGCAGGTACAGATATGCTTTAGTTACCTACATTTCCAGCATGGACAATCAGACTGCACTTGTCGTTCACAGTCCCCATTAGGCTTACAGGGTGAGCTGTGAAATGCTATTAAGCTTGCTGGCTGTGATAGGTTTGAACCAGAGGTGAAAATGTCTCACATCCCATTCCACATCTCTCAGATTATGCAGCCCCACTTCAAACTCCCCAAGAAATTCCATTTTAAGGATAACTTGGTATGTGTCCCTGGTTGGGTTTTGGGTTTTCATGTTTGTTTGTTTTTCAGGTTTTAACATTTGAAAGGGAGAAATAACCCACAGTGGCACAGTGTGGTGAACAGCTATGTGCTAAACCCACTTCTGGGCCCATGAAGCACAGACAGCAGGGGTCAGAGGCAGGTCTCAGCAAGGAACCCCTCCAGCCATGGAGGATGGAGGTGGCTATGCCCTGGGAAAAGCCCTCCCGCATGGATGGGAGGATGTGTCAGCTTTGACCTAGCTCAGGGAAAGCAAAGGGGACCTGACCTTCCCTGAAGCTGCAGAGGAGAAAGGGAAGAAAGGGAGAGGAAACAGCTGGGACAAACACATTCTTGGAGAAAAAGTCAGGAAAAGTGAACAGTAGCACACACACAAAAAGGAGCTATGAGCCCTCCTCCCCACTTCTGATCTCCCTTTCTGAACCTGTACAGCTCAAACTGCCACTGTCAGAGGAATTCCAGAGCAGTTGCAGTCTCCTCTCCCCCAGTGAAGTAATTCCCATATTGACACAAGAACTACACTCACTTACTTGCAAGACAGCTGATTAATCCCCTCGATGTAGTAGCATACCCCACCATTGACACAATAGGACTTGGCTGTTTCGTTGCATTTTCTAGCATGCCCGGACCAGGACGAGAGAGTTGTGGTTACTGCAGGGACAAAAATAAACACACAAAAAGGATATATTGTTATTTCCTTTGTTGGGCAATTCTGTTTTCTTAGACAATGTTCAATTAGTTCATTTGCCAAAGTGAAAACCCCAGAGATACAAACCTTAGCCTATGCTTTTAGACCAACCTTCACCTCTCCAGGTCCTGGAGCTGCAACTTGACCTTTCCTTTCCCACTGCAGCGGCCAACTGGGTGAGGAATTGAGGACATGCCTTCCTCTAAGCAGCCAGCATGTCAGGACAAGATCATCCTTTTGGCAAGCTGTAGTTACAAGCTCCCCTTTCCCATCTCTTCTTGCCCTCCCCTTACCCATACATGCAACCCTGCACCAGCAGGCTCACAGAATCACAGTGGCATGCTGCTGAAGCCTGATTTGTGCCATGATACTGGACCAAGATCCAGAGATATGGCAGGGAATAGTTCATTTCTCCACATCTCTGGGAGGAAATAAGTTTTCGGAGCCAGAAGCAAGTGCCTTCATTGTCACCAAAACAGGTCCAGCTCAAGCAAGATCAGCTCCATCTCTCCCCCCCTGCATCTGAGCATTTCTTTATCATGCCCCAGTGGGGCTGCCTCAACAGATCAAGCAGAAGTTCAGCAGTAGAAGTCAGTCAGCCCCAGTCTGTGCTAAGAGGGAGGCAGCCAGCAGGTTTCCTGGGGATACAGAGGCTTTTCCAAATCCAGCTTGCTTTCTGGAGAAAAGCTTTCCAGCCATGTAAGCTACAAACAAAGCTGACAGGACTCTGCAGAATTTCACTGCAATTCCTATCTGAACGATTCAGACAAATTTACAGCCCAGAACATAGAGTCTGCATGGGAAAACAAAGGCTTCTAGACAGGCAAAACCTTTTGTTAAAGCAACTGATAAAGGCTACAAAAGCAGACCAGCTTTGGGGAATGCAGAACCATCTTCACACAACTGAAAGAAGGGCTGGGCATTCAAAAGCATCTGCTTTTTCCAACTGAATACTTGATCTCGTTAAAGATAGTCCTTCTTCCTGGACTACCCACCTTGCTTATATCCTAACACAGTTACATCTCCAGCTGTGTGGTTGCTACCCACTTTCCCGTGCCTTTTATGCTGCACTCAAGGTTTCTAAGGAGATACCCTCCTGCACCCTGTTTTCCAAAGCATGAACAAACCTCATGGAGAGGCTGGTGCCTTCAGACCAGTCGCTGCAGACTGAACACCTCATTGTCTCAGGAAGAAGGCTGGAGCTCACACCACCAGGGCCATGGTCTCTGTCCTCACACTTCAAGCTCCATCCCAGCACCTGCACTCACCGGTAAAAGAGGGCTCCCAGCACCCTGTGAAGCCTCTCACATTTGGGTGATGCTTGGCACATAGCAACCAAACAAGGGCGTTCTGTCTCTCTTACTTTTAGTAAGACTCCATGGGGCCCATTCCTCTCTGAATGAGGAGTTTGCTCACCAGGCTGTGCACAGCAGGGGTAGCCCACGCTGCTACCTGCACACAGCTCAAGACAGAGCCAAGCTTACTGTTCATTTTGCTTGAACCAATGCATTGCCCAACCCCATTGTCTTCTGTCCCCACAGGGAAGTCAACGCCTTCCACTGTCTGACAGAGACAGAGTTGTGCACCAAACAGAGCTATTTCTATGCTTTGCCTTGAATAACCATTGCCTCTGGGGTTGTCTTTTCACAGCTATCCAGGGCAGAACAAGTTGTCCCAAAGTGCTCTGCAAAGAAGATAGGGCAAATACTTCAGTAAAGACTGAAAATGCACATGGCCCTGGGACAGCAAATAGCTGCTTCCCTCCTAGGGCATGCCAGTCTGCTGGGAGCCGAATGTGCAGAGCAGGGTACACATACTGGAGTGTATCTGGGTTTTAGAACAGATCCTGATTTGGCCAAGCCACCAAAGAAGGCCTTGCAAAAACTCCTCAAGTATGAAAACTTCCAAACTTTAGTAAGGAAATTCAGTGCTCAGTTCCAGATAAGATTAATGGGAACTAGAACCCAAAGCCATCGTAATGGCTTTGTAACAGGGACAGGGACACAGGAGACAGACACTGTCCCTTTGAAGGGTCCCTGAGCGCTGCTGGGCCAGCACTCAGCATAGGAGCTGTGAAAGTTTTGCTTTGGAGTGCATGCTTTTGGTGATGTACCTTATAACTGCACAACGAACAGGTCTCTGCTACAGCTGCAAGTGTGCCATCAGATCAGGGAGCACTGAAGCTTCATGAACAAAAGCACTGGTGCAAACTGAAAGATACACTGATGGAGAACAAGCACAGCCTGCAGGAAGCCGTCACCCCTGCAACCATCAAATGTACTGGTTGCTAGCAAGCAAAACAATGCATCTGGCAAAGTCTCACATCATAAATCCTACAGGAAAGGATTCTGGAGCAAGCCTTCCCACAGTAAGGGGGAAGCAGAAAAGGAGAAATAAAAACAGGCCAGAAACCTGCCCATAAAAAGCACCTCAGATAAAAAGGTACCATTTCCACCAGAAAAGGTGGACAGTAAGATGCAGTGCTGTGTGATGTTGTGATACCAGAGTGGATTACAGTGCTGACCAGCTAGAGATTACATGGGATTTTCATCTCATATGAACAATTCTGTTCCTTTTAAACAAATACAAAAGAATCTAACATGACTGAGGCTTGGAACATGCATGTTGTGTACTGCTAGAAAGAGAGCTGTCAACAGAGTTATGCCTGTTGTAAAAATACATGGTTCATCAGTTCTCCTAGCAGCATCTTATTGTCATGTTTTAAATCCTGTTTTCTTCAAGTATTGTGCCTTTTCTCCCAAAGAAGCACAAAGTGTTTTAAAACTGAGTCACAGATTCATATTACCATGGTCCATTTGTTAGCGGCAGAGATGTAGCAAAGGCCACAAAAAGAGGCAGTCAGCCCAGCTCCCTCCTGAGAAGAGAGTGTCATGAAATACAGGCCTTCATAAGACTATAAGCTGTGCAGTACTGGTCAAAAGAAAGCCCTGTCTTGACTCTGACAGTGGAAAATAGGCAATGCTTAAGGAAGAAGATAAGCACAAGCATGCAATGATCATTTTCTTCTGGACATCTAGGATGAGCTGCTCAGAGACAACCTAAGTCAGCCACAGTGTCTTGACATTTAATAGCCTTTGATGGGTTTCTCTTCCGTGAACATGTGTAGTTACTGTTTGAACAAATCTTGTAACATCCACACTATTTGTGACAAGAACTCCAGTGTTACGCACACAGTGTGCAAAGACACATCTCCAGCTATTGATTTTAAACCTGCCTTTTCCTGGATCTTATATTAGAAAAAATAGTCATCATCCCCTCTCATTTCCCCTGAGCTGTCAGTGGCCTTACAGGCACAGCCAGCACCTCCTTCCCTATCTGGAAAGTCCCAGGGCTGAGAACAAAGCAGAAGGGAGTAAGGAGGTGAGGATGGGGAAAAGAGGGCTGTCTCTTGATGGATGTGATTGAGAACAACCTGAAGCCACATTTTGTTGCTGCTGTTCCAGACAGTGAGCACAGTGCAGCATAAACACAAGAGAGATTCAAAGCACTGCAGTCATTCAGAGCATCTATTTTCTATCCCACACCAAGGTTATTTGGGATGAACATCAATGACAGGGCAAGAAAGGAGAGCCACAGACACTGACATTGCCGTGCGGACTTCCCTTCATACAAGCCATCTGCGCAGAAAGGCCATTAATGATGGTGCACGGATCCTTTCACAGTTCCTACCATGCACGTCATTTAACTTTTACAGGCAGCTCACCAGCCCGCTCTCAGAGATCTGGTGAAATACTCACCCTGCAGAGTTACTTAATGCAGCTTGGACTATAAATTACAGTTGGTTTTTCACAAACTACAGCTACTGTCGAGGAGAGCAAGGAGACCGCAACAGGTTCGCTGCTCCTTTGCGTTATAACTAATTTTGACTGGGGGGGGTGTTCATAGAGTACAGACATTTCATTCTCTCAATATTTAGACATTCAGTTAGACAGATGAACTCAGCTGGTTGGAGACTGTATACAGATTGCCTGCTCTGTATATGCCTCATGTACTTACTGATAAAACACAGAATTGCTGAGGTTCCTCTCCACCGAGTTCATCCAACAGCTTGTCAGAAGAACATGGATGAGAAGGTGTCTGGCCAAGCTATTCCTTAGCTGTAGCACTGTAATCCTGGCGTGAGCCACACTAAATCCATGATTTACACTGATTAATGCATGGAGGAGCTGTTGATCCTAACCATTCTCCCTATGGCAGGTTTCTGTATGTCTGGCATGACACCCTCTTCTCTTAATAAACCTGAGCAGAGAGGCTAAATGCTGACTGCTCTCTGCACACAGAATCAGAAGGGTCTGTGCAGACTGGGGCTCACCTGGCAACAGTCTGGGGACCTTGGAGCTCGTAAAACTTCTGCTCCTGTGTGTTTATTCATTTGGAAACAACCCAGTATTTACCCCTGCATTTTACTGAAATAGATCCTGCTGGAATTATGTTCCCAGTTCCCGTGGGGACCATGAGGATCAATAGCTGGAGATTTGAAGTTCATCCCAAAATAGAAATGCCAGACTGCAGGACACTCATTTCAAGAACATCAGATAGTGCTGATCAAAACAACACAGGCAGCACTGCCCACATCTCCCATCTGCACTGTTCAGGTGTTCCACTGAGAAGGGAGTTTAAAGGTTTCCAAGTGCCAAGGGACTGCTTGCTTCCATAGGACAGGAAGTTACTGCAGGGACAAAGTCCTGTGTTATTATAAAGCTTCTAGTTGCTCTTCCAGGCTGATCTCTCCAGCACTTCCTATGCTTTTCTCTACCACAAGGGTCCCAGAATGCGTTAGTGCTGCAGCATCTTATTTTGACCAGTCCCCATCACCAAATGTAGTAGCAGCAACATGATACTTCAATGAAGGATTTTGTGCAACCACCTAAAAAGCCTTTTGCAGGTGGGACAGTTGAAGCCAAGGAAGTGAAGCAACATGCCAGAATCGCAAGATGGATTCATACAGAGCAGATCTGATACACAGCCTCCTACTCTGAATGCTGGGTTTACAGCCTCAGTTCTTCCAGGGGACATCAGCTTCCATCCTACACTTCATTCCATACTACCCATATTTGCCTTAGAGTCACAGCACCCTGTCTTTAGAGTAGTGGAACTGATGGTTACTTAAAAAACACACGGTGCGGGACCTGACAGCAGACAGGCAAAACACAGCTCTCCCTGCAGCCTGACAGCGAGACGTCCAGCACGTACACCTCAGGGTCCCATGCCTGCCTGCATGCAGGCGCCACTCCATTATCAACCACACCTCCAGCCATGGGGTTTGAACCGTCTGAGCACAGACCACACCAGGACTTATTTTTAGTCTAATATTGAAAACTGGTCTGTCCACATGGCCCTCGGTGGACTGACTTCCATCTGTTCTACCTGTGCTTGGAGGTAGCTGGACAACCTTCAACTCCAAAACAGCACCATGCTCATGTCTGTAGCATTGTTGGCTCCAGCACAGTGGCTTCTGACTAAGAGAGACCAGAGAATGACATTCAGGTCTGCCATGGTTACTCAGAAAAGGTCATACCAGACTGCACTTGAGATACAGTTTGGAGGAACTGACTGAACCTGAAGTACATGTCACATCTTACTGTGCTGTATGCTGAAGCTTCAACTAGATGTGACTTACAAACCACATCACAGTAAAGACATCATTGAGCCATTGCGCTCATGTGAGTCCACCAAGCCTATCTCACCTGGGAGAAAGACAGTAAGGAAAACATTTCCAACCCAGCCATGTTAAGAATTGGGGAAGGTATTAAATGGGAGAGAACCTGAATAAGTCTAAACCGATAAGTCTACAGATTTAGTCCACCAATTTTATCACCAAGATGACAGCTATGAAACCTGTGGATCCAAATTGGTGTGTGGAGAGTTAGACATAACTGGAGAAAGAAGTGCTGTTTCACCTACTTTCCCTTGAGGACCTATAAAGGGACTTCAGGGAGGGCTTGTGATCCTCAGCAGTTGAAATAAAGCTCCCCAAAATCAATCTGAAGAGACCAGCTTTCATTTATCCTCACATTATCCCCCAATCCTCATGTTCCCAGCAAAGCTCAGCACTGCCTCTTCTCCTCTTTCTTTCTCCCTTTTTCATCTCTCATCTGATCCAAAACCTCTCTCTACTGCAGAGCATCTGTAGCCTGGCCAGCAATGTCACCTTACATGACACTGGTAAAGGCACTCAACCAGATTAGCTAGATAGCTACCCAGACAAAGGGCATGAGCAGGGTAAGCAGCTGCAATGATCCACATGTTGGTTTAGAGCATCTGCTCATCACTGGTGGATTCTCTTCTATCCTGAGAGTATCCAAACCCTGCTTTCTCCACCCAGCCAGTAATAACTTCTTACCCTCAAGACTTCAGCTGTTTCTTAAAATCAAGGAAATAAACTAGAGGGGAACTCAACAGCAGAAAACACGCAAAAGAGATTACCTGACCTTTTAAAAGATTTCAATCAGTATCTTTAAATACCATTTAAAAAGGAAACTTTTATAAGATTTAGTATCTTTGTCCTGCATATACCTGCTATCTCAGATTGCTCCCAACTTTCTTCCATTTTTGCCTCCAACAAAATGTTTCTAAACTTTGACACTAATTCCTATTCCTTTTACCAAGCAGGTCTGTAGCCACAGACCCCCAAACCTCGTTTAGCTGCTCCAAGCTGCACACTGACAGGATCACTTTACCATTTTGAGCTCTCTGCATGTTGAAATGAGTATAAAGGATGTTTCTTTCTGCATTAGGATGCATGATCAAGTTACCCCATTCCTGCAAGTCCCTGCCTGTGAGCTGAGCTGCTGACCACCCAACTGCGCAATCTTAGCCCTTGACAAACACAAGACAGCATGTCTTATTTAACAGTTTTTCACTATGGATGGAGCTACTGCAACTATGTCATGCTTACTGGGCTCAACAGGAAGACTTGATAAGAATAGTAGGCATTTCTTCTCTTTTGGGCCCCAGTGCTTTCTGAAGAAAGCATTTCTAGGGCTGCTCTGGTCTGTCAATGCTCAAACCAATATATACTCAGAGGAAGGTGTAAGACTGTGGTACACGGCATCATGGAAAGACTTTCCCAGAGACCAGAGTCCCTTTCTGAATCTGGCCCTCAGATTGAGGAAGGCAGGGGTGACTCAGAACATAGCAGGATTTGCTAGTAGCTACACTCAGGGGTGGTAAGAAAGGCTTAACAATGCTCCAAAGGTGAAATATTTGACATCACACTCTTTTTCCCAAGGCAAGGGTGGCAGGGAAGCTCAAACCACTGAGGAAGGAACTGGGACATTTGGGAAAAAGACTAGTTAAAAGCATATACACCGGGAGCAACACAGCTACAGGGGGTGAGGCACGTGGGGCTGCATGGAGTGATGGGCTTCTATCTCCTTGCCCATAGGGGCTGTCTGGGCCATGGCGAGAACACAGTGAGCTTCTTGGGGTGTAGAGTCTAACACCCTTGCCAAGCCTACCTGCTAAGATGCTTGCCTCACACCACAGGCCAAACAGAAGTGACCAGTGCCATGACCAAGCTGTCTATGTAAGGCAGTCTCTCCTTTACCAGGGAACTACAGGTACCACCAACTTTGCATGGTGCTTTCTCAACGTGGTGTTTAAAATCCAGTGGATCATTTACAGGCTTTCAGTGAAACAATGAGGGGCTGGACAACCTACAGATGCCAGACAAGCTTTTGGATACAGATATTTAAAAGATACGCAAGAATTCGACAAGAATGAGGTATTTGTCAGCTTTCCAAAGCATCACACCTCACAATATCTTCATTACCTTCCCATATGTTATACAGATGTGCAATTCTATGATAGATCATCAGTAACCATAAAAATCAGAAGGACTATGTGTTATTTAGGTAACAATTGAAAGAGATCATGAAAAAGGAATGTGAGGGAAAAAGTCAATTACAGCTTTAACTCTGGAGACTTTACCATCTCTTCACATCATTAAGGAAAAAAACCCACAGTCAAGGATGATGTTCCTCCAGAGGAAAGAAGTGTTTCAAAAGGAGAAACTTCTGTGCAAGCCACACGGTATTTTGCCAGTTTCCTTTCTATTGTTGAAATTTGGCTTCTATTAAAAATAGCATATATCTAATGTGATGCAAGTCAGCAGCATGGATCTATGCTGGTGAACACAATGGAAAAATCCTGGGGAAGGATGGTATGGTCATTGTATTAATGGTGTTGTGTCTCAGCTTGATGTCCCCAGTGCAGTGGAAGGCTAAACGCAACGCAAGAGCACAACACAAGTACAGTTTTCTAATCAGAACCTTTTAAAGGATACTTGGCCAGTCCCTGCTGTGGCTGCAATCGCATTTCCTTTAAAATCATCAACGATCGAGCTTTCCAAGGAGGAAACATCCCCATGAACTCTGCAAAGCGGAATCAACAGAGAGGCAGAGCCAGCTGTGCTGCCAGGGCAGGTTGTGAGCAGCTGGAATGTTAACAGCGCAGACCACAAATAACTGCCTAGTCCTCAGCCCTCTGGGTGCCTGCTCATTTAGAGGGGACCCTGCTGGGCTCTTCAGTGTTCCCCAGCACAGAGACACTGTCACACACAGGAATAGTGCCTCCACTAGGAAGAGCCAAGCCAGTGGCCAGGCTCCTGCCTTCTAGACCTGCCCTTGCAGACATGCTTTGATTTGTATTTTTGTGTGCCCATTTTCTACCCCATTCATGAATAGGAGGGAATGCTAAAAAGCACTTCCACCACATTAAATCAAATTAAATGCTTGGGGTAATCTGTTCTTACTTTCTGGACACTCTAGGAAAAATGTGATGGCAGAACACAGATGTATTTCTGCAATTTTCTTCTGACTTATGCTTAGAACTCTTATGTACTTTTTCTTGTATTTCCTATAGCCTCCTTTGGTTTTCTCACCTATCCTCAAAAAAAAAAAAACAACCCAAAACAAACAACAAACCCAACCCTAAAAACAAGCCAACAAAAATTCCTGCTAAATAAAAGCACACCTTACAAGCATCAATAAGTCATAGAATAGTTAGGGTTGGAAAGGACCTTAAGATCACCTAGTTCCAACCCCCTGCCATGGGCAGGGACTGTATTGCAAGAGCTGTGAACACTTAAAAACCCGCTGTAATTTTAAGTAGCATGTTCTTCAAGTTCCCATTGCAATAGTTATCAGCCTCTCCCTCCCTAGTATAGACACCAGCAATATAAATCATATTCTTTGAAAGATCCAGGGAAAGATCAGTGGCTTTGGCAGAAATCAAAGGGAAGTGGTGATTAAAGAAGATTCCAGGAGGCAATAAAGCATTTATGCAAAATGTGTCATAAAACCAAAACAAGTAAGGGGAAAGGAGCTATATTGGGGGAGCGGGGGGAGAGGTACTTACACTCTTCTTCCATAACAACTATTTTAGTTTCTGAGGCTGGTAAGACTTGTGGTGCTTTCGTTGTTCCTGGGGAAATTAAGGTAAGAAAGTAGTGAACAAAATATCTATTTTGAGCAGTGAAGGGTGGGCTTAGCTACTGCAGGGGGGAAGGACAAGAGGAGGTGCTGCTGGGTGGCACAGGCTGGCATGGCTGTCAATGTGTTAGTAGTGGTTAGAAGATGCTCAGATGGGTGACTGGGTATCAGAGGCAGGTAAAGGAGTGCCCCTGCATGGGATGGCACAGGGCACGTCGGTCCCCTTGCTGTAGAGGGCTTCATGCCATTAGGATCTCTGTCATGAGAAAAGGGCTCAGGATTCACCTGGCAGGTGATGAGCAATACTGTGGGGAGGTTTTCTTAGCCCTGGTGGCTGTGAGAGTGTAAAGATGGGATCACAGAACATGATAGTGAGAAAAATGTGGAGTTAAAGAAAAGGTGAGACCATCTGAAGAGCCTCCATCCCACATACAGGTGCAGTTCTACAGCACAAAGTAATGCTTGTATAAGAGATGGAGGTACATGAAACAGGTGAAGGCCATGGCCCCGGGCAGTATGGGAGCCAAGCACATCCAGCAATTTCCTCTTTATAAACCAGGATACTGGTCCACAGTCACAAGCTCTACTCAAGCCTCCTGGCAGCAACAGCTCCTTCTGGATCAAAGTCCCTCACCACCTCTAGATTCACAAAGGAGAAAGCACCAGGAGCCTACACTGTGCGGGCAGCTCCCTGTCAGAGGTAGGCACTGAGACCACCGTGGAAAGGTAAAAGCAGAGAGAACTTTTTAGACAAGTTTGATTTTTCCTGCAGCGTTAAACAAAAAGTGGAGGGGGGAGATGTCAGTTCAGGAGGAGTCTTGAAGTTTTCTGAGGAAAAGAGCCTGAAACAGGCACATTCCAGCTGTGTCCTCATGCCCACGTGATAATGTTCAAATACTCAATGAAGAGAGCTGTGAAATCGGACATTTTTCTAAGAAAGCATCTAATTTACCTCAAAGTAATAAAAATCTGAAAATAGCACCAAAGCACAATATGTTTTGGCTAAGCCCAGAAGCATTTCCTCAGAAATTGACACCCTCCCAAAGCTTTTCAAGGCAAGAGCATTTATCTCTGAGCAAGGCATTTTGTGGAAAAACCAGAATTGCAGAGCAGACATGAGGTGATGGGTTTGGCTGATGGACGTTTTCTAAGTGACAAGGGGTCACTGCACTGCAGCCACTCTCTTTCTACAGAAAATCTCTCTTCAGTGTGGGGGTTTTGGTGATTCACAACAGATCCGCATGGCTGAAACAGTGCTCTTTAGAAACTGGTGTAAACTGGAAAGTGGCAGTAGAATAGAGCAAAGGGTACTTTGCAACAGCAAAGCTGCCTCGGGCTGAGAAACTTTTGCCAGCAGACTGCTTCTCAGATCTTTGTACCCATGTGCCTGAAGGTACCATGTGTGAGCCTCCTCTCTGCCAGCCAGGACTCAAGTGGGCTCAGGAGCCTCTGTACCCCTGGAGGGCAATGGCATGCTGGTTTGAGGACTCCTCCCTCCTCCATGATGCTCATTTCAAGCCGCAGGACACCTCTTGCAATGGCACCTCTCTACAGAGGCACCCAGAGATGTCCACAGACCTCATTTCTCTATATCACAAGATACAGTATTAGCTCAGGACCTCTTCCCAGTCCTAGATTCACATGCCTGTATCACAGCAACATTACAGGTCCTCCAGCAGGACTGCTAAATGTCAGATCAGAAGGTGTGCTTCCCGCAGACGGTCCCAAAGCATCGGTACCAGCCAGCCTGCCCGGGACAGGCGAATGCACCAAGTTCCAAAGGAAAGGCCAGCACTTAAGAAGCAGAATATTAAGCAGCAGAACATGAAAACCAGCAATAGCTGGAGTGAGCTTCTGGGAAGGGCTCCAAGGGCAGGCCAGCTCACACATCTGTTCTGATCAATTGTTATAAACTGCTAGAACTTCACAGAGCACTCTGTTGAGAATTAGCCACAACAGGATCAGCGCTAAGGGGCCTGGAGAAGAATGCAGGCAGGGACAGAAGACAGGGCACATGTGGATTCAGGGACAAGCAGATGCTCTGAGGAGTTTTCTACTGAAAGGTATCACAGAAGAAGGGAGCTTGCAGAAGTGAGGGAAGCTATCAAAGTCCCAGGAAGGTCCAGCCGAAAGGAAAGAGGGAGACTCCAGAACAGCAAGTGCTGGGCACAGGTGAAGGCTGCTTGGTTCTGGCTAGCTCAAGGGAGAAGAGAAAAAAGAGTGCAAAGGGGGTGACAGAGCTGCAAAAGCCTACAGTGAACAGCATCACCTTGTTTACAAGGGACTATAACTAGCAGTTACCTGCTGTCCTGCCAGGTGACCTGCAAGCAGCAGCAGCAAGGGGTGCATGCAGTTGAGAGTGCCAAGTCAAAGGCAGATTTGCAAGGAGCTTAGAAAATGGATTAATCAAGGCACTGCCCCAGCAGGGCACAGCAGGCAATTGACTGGATCTGCAGCACCTTGCAGCCTGCAGCTCCCAGGAGGAAAAGGTATAGGACAGATCTCTGTGTGTCTTTGGTGACTTTTCAGGTCAACATGTTTCTGGGCAACTCAGGCATGTCCTCATACTCCCTGTGACCGAGTGAAAGCAGCTGCCTATCATAGAATCATACAATACCAGGTTGGAAGGGACCTCAAAGAGAATTTGACCTTGTCAGATAGCATGCCTTCCTGCAGAGGATGAGTTCAATCCTGTCAAATACTGCCATTACCATCCCTGGCAGTGTTCAAGGCCAGGCTGCACAGGGCTTGGAGCAACCTGCTCTAGTGGAAGGTGTCCCTGCCCATAGCAGGGTGCTGGAAAAAGATGACCTTAAGGTCCATTCCAACCCAAACCAGTCTATGATTCTATGTGGGAAGGGGCTGTTTGAAGCTGTAGTGGCCTGAGGTGCAATCCCTGGTGCCATAAATAGCTTGCAGGATGGGAGTCTTGCAGCAGACACTGCTCAGTCACACTCCTCCTCTCGTGAAAGGGGATTGCTAGTGCCTGGAAAGAGGAGGCGTGGAGGAGGCAGATGTGGGTCTAATGGCTGGCACATGCTGCCTGAGCATGTTGCACATGGAAATTAGATTTGCACATGTAGCCCCCAGTCAAAACAGGAGCAGTTTACATGGTGGTGGAACAGCCAGAGTGCAAGTCAGAAAAGAAGGAAGTTCCACTGCCTCAGCTAGCTTATTCTGGACACCTTTCCTACCATGGTTCAATAGAAACACAGCAGACCAGCTGTGCTAACTTCGTAGACATGAAGCATGAAGGCATGGAGGTCTGAGCACGGATGGCCTTTCTGCAGGCTTTGCAAGCACTGGGTTTTTACAGGCAAAGTAACCAAGGGGGAGGCTATATGACATTGCAGCTTCACAGAATAGAAGATTCAGGACTTCAAACACTGCTGAGACAGAGGTTAATAGAGAAAATAATGCCAGAAAGCAGCAGGAAAAAGGTACCTTCCTTTTCATACTGATGCTAGTAAGACCACAACAGAGAAACTGGATCACACCGAGAAGGGCTGCAGAACACAGAGCCCAGACTCCCACAGTGGCCCATTGTGAATGGCAGAAGGAAGAGTTTAGGAACACAGTCATCCCTTCCCTAGTTGCACCCTCCTGGCTTCTGGCAACCACTGTAGAGACTTTCTGAGCTGGAGGGCGCAACCAAACCATCATGTTAAGCAATATAATTATTATAACCATGATAATAATAAAACCACCTAACCTCAGACTCCATCCGCTGAGCTCTAAGAGATGGAGCACACATTCTAGGATGAAAACCAGAAGCAACTTCACTCATCACAAAGCTATGGTTTAATTACTTGTCTTCTGGCGAGTTTTGCTGCTCAGAAATTCTTTTAGAAAAAGAAAACATTGAGCCCACCAGCTTTCTTTCCTCTGTACCCCCTTAAAAAAAATACATAGACTGTAAGTTTATTTAAAATGTAAATTAACCACATTGCCACTGACAGATAACAAAGATAAACATTTATGCTAAGCTGCATTTTTCTTATCTCCCAAGACTGTTTTACTCAATATCCTAAAAGCATGAAACACAATAAAAGACAGATCATGTGCAGAACCTCCCACTTTCTGCGTGAATGGCAGACAAGACATTTGCTGGCTTCTTCACTTACCACTTTTCACATTCAGGCTGCCTTTTGCGGTGTCTTTCCCTAAAACGTTCTCCGCTTCACAGCTGTATTCCCCAGCATCTTCCAGCTTCACCTTGTTGAACTGCAGTCTGGAAATCTTTCTGTTGAAAAGTACAGCAGATATTTCTTACTAGATTGCTAACCACCCTCATGAACTGATAACCATTCCTGGCCCGGGTACACTGCCTTGGACATCACCCCTTCTTGAGACAATGGCCTGCCTGACCTCACGCGCTGAATAGGCACCCAAGCCTGGTCAGAATTCAAATGAGACCCTTCCCAGGAATCACAGCCACCCTTATTTCCTAAATTAACATCTCCCTTTGAGCCCACTGCTCTTAGCATGTTGCCATGGTTTGGTCTGAGACCTGCTCCCACCTCTTGCTAGGGGTTGAGCCCACCAGCATCCCAGCAGACAGACTTTCTTATGCTGGAGAAAAGCCATTTTATTGATGGACAGCAGGATCTTCCTGCGAGATGGAGAAGTGGAGATGTGTGTTCTGCGCCTTCCTCAGCCAGGAGGCTGAGCAGTCCAGTGCTTCAGTGACTGCACTGAGTGCCACACACTCAAACACAAACACCCACAGTGTCTGGGGGGCACTCATCCTTTCCCAGCCTGCAAATCGAACCCTGTGGTTTCACCCAGACAGCTAGCATGTAGCTTCATCCAGGCCTATTAATAGGGGAAGTACTTTGTATCCCCCAATTACACACACTCCAATGTACTACAGATATGTGGGGCTGAACTGCACACAATCATTAAACCAGTCAGAAGCACCTAGAAGGAGCAGAAGATGATGTATGGAATGATGCCTGTGTCAGCTAACAACCTGTGCTACGCGCTACATAGGACAGGGAGCAGCTCAGCAACAGAGCTCTTAGGTGCTATGGAGAAGACGAGCATCACCCACCTATGGCAGACGTCTCATTCTCTGGGATGCCTCTCTCACTAATAGCCAAAACCTTTTGTTGCCTACTTTAATAAAGATCTACAGGAGTCTTCAACACACACTGAGTAACACTCATGAGCCAGCAGTGGGACTCCCGCATTAGGCCCTCTGTTTTACTACATCTCCTTTCATGTTAGCCAGCTTATCAAAAAACACCCTGTGGTCTCTTCTCATGAGAACATCTCTCTGCTTTCTACCCAAAGCTTTTATCTCAGGTCTGTCATACAGTCACTTTATTTAGAGACTTGGAAACACTGCCAGGTGTAGAAAGAGGTCCCAGTGGCCTATGGCTCTGACATGTGGAAAATAATCATTAGCTTTGGAATGTTTACAATGCTAACGTGTCATCTGAGAAGGACTTTTCTTTGGGCTGTGCACATCATCATCCATAGGAAGTCCTTCACAGAAACAGTCATCTTTTTAACACCCTGACATCCTCTTCTCATGGGAGGCACAGTGCAAGGACTCAGCATGAACATCTCACTAGTTATATTAGTAAATTAAATGCACTTGGAGACAGCTTGGTAGAGCTCCCAGGATATGGGCTCTGCCCTGTTTTACAGGATGCGGTCAAGTGCTCAGTTGCACAAGTTTAGGCCCCATGTGGTGCAATTTTTAAATGAATGTTGACAGTATGCAAAGATCTCTAAATCCCTAGGTCTCCCCTAAGCCACTGTGCCAAGCCAGTTATGTGGACCAACATGTTCCAACATAGCAGCCTGAAGAAGCAAAGTGGTGCAAAGCCGCCTTGGCTCTGTGCTGTGTGCTCCTCTGTATTTTCTCAAGTCTCTTAGAGCAACCTGTGACAGTCCTGGGCACCGTGGTCCTCACTGCTGTGGTGCCTTAGGAGTCAAGCAGCAATAGACAGTGAAGCATTTATAGGCCTCCAGGGCCTGTTGCTGCCTGGTGGCAGTTGGGTTGTGCATAGAATCACAGAATGGTTTGGGTTAGAAGGGACCTTACGATCATGTAGTTCCAGCCCCCTGCCACGGGCAGGGATACCTCACACTAGACCATGTTGCCCAAGGCTTTGTCCAGCCTGACCTTGAACACTGCCAGGGATGGAGCATTTACCACTTATTGGGCAACCTGTGCCCCCTTAAAAATAAACCACAACAGAAAAACTCAACAGTATTTAAGGCCCTCACATAAACTTCCCAGGTAAAGTACCTCAAATTCATCTGCCTCTGAGCTAAAGCTTTCCCATGCATCTTGCTGGGAAGATACAATGGGTGCCCAATGAAGGGGTTGCCTCTGTTGGGCTGTAGTGCAACTCTGACAACACTGTCCCTAGCACACCCAGCCATTGGCTGTCTCAACCCTCCCTGACAGACTACACCATCTGTTTCATAAACTACCCCTACGACAGGCTGGTAGCTATTGCTGCAATGCAGAGCAGAAAAGCAGGCAGCACGTGTTGAAAGCAGCTTGGAAGAGCTCTAACTCCAAGTCCTGTAGAACACACCACCCTCGCACACCATGCTGAGGCTATCTGCCGGAGCAGAGCTGAAAGCATTAACCAACACACTGCCTTCAGCTGCCGGAGGACAGATACCCTAATGATAACTGGCTGTGTTGCAATCTCAGTTGCACAGCATGTTTCACCAGGTGTAGGAACTGGAAAAATCCACTACAGCATTAGAATATCACCTACGTACATGATCTTCTACAGATAAAGGGGTTTAAGCCCCAAAGATAGAAATCAGGAAGTTATTAGTAACACAAAAGGGTAATGAAAGGGGGCACACCTGGCAGATTTCTCTCTAAGAACAGGATGGGAGGCATTTGGTCTTTTACCTGGAACTGGAGAGGTATGTGAGCAGAATAAAAAGCAACGTTGGCATTTATAGCTTATCAGATTCAAGGTGAAACCAAAGAGGATTAATTTGGTTTAATGCACAAGACTGTTGTACTATCAAAAGTGCTTATTTTTATTATTCAGCACAGTTTGAAGTTCTCCTGGATTGCAAGATCCCCTTGAAAAATTCAAGGTCTTTTTCTTGCTTTTCATACTCCAGACCAATGGCGTAGCTACTCTTGGCCTTCACTATATAATATAATGCTATATAATGTAAAGTAACAGACTTGGAGGGGAGAGATGAAGAGTGCAGATGAAGATTAGTTTTAATATTGAGGGTGGCCATAGTAAAGACAATTTCCCTATCCAGGCAGCACTGAAATAGCCAGAGATAACTTGTTTCACAGCATTAGTCATGTGCCTTTTAATTCACATGGATAATGCCTGTGCATTGAAGAACTGAACCGAAGGATGTAAAAGAGACTAGACCTTGGTCTGTGTGCGGCAAAGATGACCACTTTGTTTCTGTTATATTCTACTATCTCCAAGGGCTACTGAAATACCTCAAAACTGGCTAGGAAATGGTCATTTTTCAAGTCTGCATCCTTCCTCCTGCTGCCCCCAGGCAGGTACTTTGTTCACTTGAGGTCTGAGGAGTGGTTTTACAGCAATACCAAGTAGCAGCATACAAGGAATTAAGCTGTGCACAGGAGTTTTGCATCAAGTCTCCTGCTACCCTTGTGGGCAGCGTGTCTCTTGGGGACACCAGCCCCTGGGAAAGCCCCAGACTGCTGGTTCACAAGAGTGCCTTGCTGCTAGAGGATGCCATTCTTCTGGAGGAAGGCTCTACCCCAGGCTGTTTGTTCAGTGAAAGGGCCAGGGTCACTGACAGATCCCATCATTTCACTGCAGTGCAACTCTGTTGACATTTCTTTACTCCAGGGGAAAATCTGCCTCATTGTCTTTTCTGACCCTCAGCACATATGACTTAGCCACGCACTAATTATCTCCTGTAGTGCCAGTGGAGGAATAAGCCATGGGGAATATGTTGTCTGCAAGCTCTGGCGGATAGCATTCATGAGGAGACCTTCAGCCTGGCCAGAAGAAGATCCCCACCAAACACCTTTCTGGCCATGAGAAAAGTCCCCCCAGAGGGCAGTTTGGAGGGATGAGTAAATCACCCTTTGCAGTGTCAATACCAGACCACAATGGGAAGCAGGGAGATTAGCCCTTGGCTGGGACCTACACAGAGACCCTGGTAAATTCTGGCCTGGAAGGGTGGCCTCATCTGCTGTAATTTAGACATCTCAGAGTCAGACATCTAATCGTGAGGCTGGGCCTCCGGTATAGTCAGAGGAAAAGAAAACAGGCACTTCATCTCAGCCAAGGAGAAACTGTTCACGACAGAAGTCATATTCTCACCTCCACTTTGGTCAAGCTTGAATCATTTTTGTCCCCTTACCTACTGCCAAGTGAAAATGCGACTGTCTTCCCAGGTCACCTCCTCACAAAGCCATTCGTTTCTGAGCAAGAATGCAGCTGCCAAAAGCTGCTACCAAGACACCTACATTTTGCTGTGAACTCGGCACTCCCTGTGTGAGTTCAGCCTCTTCTGCATCATTCAGGACACAAATAGCTCTAGGATTACTACTGTTACAGTATTTTATTAGTCTTCTAAAAATAGGGTAGCTAACATGTAAGTAGTGAAGTCGAGGAACTGGCCGATGAAGAGAATTTGAAGACTACACTGTATATAGCCCCTAAATTGTCAATGAAGAACACTGCACATAGTAAACACACCCAAGATCCTAGGAAAAGGAAATTCCCAAACATGACCCTTGCAAAGGACACACTGAATACACTGCTGTGGTTATCTATTAACTCCATTCCCCTCTGTTTGCACAGAGCTGGTAGCAGGAAGCACACCAATATTGCAGAGAACAGAAAGGCAAGTAATTGCTGTAATGTCTACTGCTCACATTCCTGCCAAAGATTTAATTGGAGCCTATGTGCTGTCCTGGCACTTTTCACGGTGGTGCATTTGCCCTGAGAGAGCAGATTAATGATTGCAAAGAAGATTCAGAATATCTAATTCTTCAGCTTAAAGTAAGAAGAGGTGTCCAGCAACCATCAAATCTGAGGCAGCCCCACCGGCTGGAGCTGGGCTATCAGAGCCCTGGCCTCTGAGAAAACATTAATCTTCCTCAGCACGCAGGGGGATAAAATCAGGTAGAAGGGATCACTGCAACACAAAGCAGAGTGGGGATGGCTGTGGCAAAGCACCTCTGTCTGGCAGGATGGAAGTGGCAACCAGGAGCATCCTCTGCCCTGCACAGACAGATGGAAACCACCC